ACTGACCTCATTCGGGTTGACAACTTCCGGCTAGAGATATCGGAGATCAACTCACCAGTGGGTAATGACATTCGCAGACTTGTTTCGACGACACATCAAACCTACGTACTTGAATAAGTAGCTACCCGGTTTTACGCCTAATCAGATAACCAGGCTAATTTGGCATTAACCAGCTATCTACGCCAAAGTCTTCAATGCCCGGCTATACCTCCTCAGGTACCATGTTCTTGAGAACCAAACCGTAACATCTAGAACCATTCGTACATGTTTATAACCGACAAACTGAGCTGAGTTGTGTCAGAAAACGGGAGATGGGCTGCATTGTGGATAATTCAGTGGCAAAAGAACATCCATCACCATTGGGCTTGGTGTCCCGACCACATGCTGCACATGCGGAATCATTGTCTACCGAGACGAGCGCGCCTCCACCAAAATGGCGCAGTGTCAGCTGGACAAAGTGTAAATTTTCAGAAGGGTTATGAACACTTTGGTTGTTTTGGGTGCGCTCCGTCTTAAAAACAAGGTCCACTAGACCCTTCCTGTATTTGACGTCGCAAAAATGACAGTGGCGTTTGCACTGATTGAGCATTTGGAGTTCCTCAGAAGGCTTGTGGTAGGTGAGCACCACATCTCTTCTCCATCTTATCCTTTTTTCACGGTAATGCTTTAAATGTCGTTGAATAAACTTTTTGGTTGGGCTGCAACAAAATGTCTGTTACAATAATGTCGCTGCCTTTGATGGTGATGCTTTGGCTCTGAGTAAGAGATTTTCTAAGAAAATGTGATCGGTTCATGCAGGTTTTCGCGTATTCCGTAGGTCACTGTGGTTGTGCAACAGAAACTCACGAGGACTGCTACCGAACGCCCCGTTAGAGTATCACTACGTATGCGTTCGACAGACCATACGTAAAGATTAGAAAACTCGTAACGTACGTCCGGTTCAATGAGCTCAAGGGATCAAGCGGTCTTACAGCAAATGATAGACAACAGCCTTTTTCAGGATGCGTTAAAAATTCTTGTATGTAATGGATTCGTAGGCGTCTGTCTCCTTCAAATTTAGGCATCATCGCAGCCTTCTGTCATGTATCTACTGATTCTACTAATTCTATTCTAAAAGGGACCATGAAGTACCTTTACCGGCGTCGTCACTGTTTCTTTTAGAATGCGCAACTGAACCTGTTTAGATCCCATCACGCTGAGTTTGTCAGTAGATCTCAGTCGCATTCTACGCCAGTGACGAAGAGTTCCCGAAAAATGTCCGCAACAGCCTGTGAACTGTTTAGACGGGTATCAGTCTGGTTGTACAGAGCAAATGGTGCAGGCTGCTTTCTTCCGTATCAGCGGAGGGCTGTGTATGATGTTTAGTCGTTTAATACTTTATAGTATCTATATTTACAAGCCTTTCTGTTCATCTTTTCACTTCACATCACAGAATATGGTAGTCTGGTTCTCATCCATTTAGCAAATGATATGCAGTGAGTGAAATGTAACATACAGATGACAAAAAGCCCTTTTAAGGACTAAAGTAATCAATAAATTCCCGAGGTGTACTGACAATTTTCTTTACTGGCTTACGATTAACAGATTCGGACACGGTCTTCGAGGAAGGAAGTACGGCTAAAGTTCTCACATTCTTAAGAGCTCTCAAGATAGCTAGACGCTTAAGGAACAAAACTGTTGTCTATAAGGTCCCTCACTGCAATTGTAAATACCAAAACTTCGGCAGCCTGATAGCATTTCATCACCGATATCTTCCCCTAGCCACATAAAAAAACTGAAAGGTTGCTACGAGTGACCTATTATCAGTATTATTACTATGGTTTTAGTTGTCCATATACTACCGGTTTGTTATTCGCACCGATCTCTCGGGAAACCCAGCTTAAATTGCACAAAGATCTCTCATTGTGTTCGACTACCGGCTAAGGACGAAGGCCAAATACAGGCAGAGCGTTTACTCTCCACAGGGTTCCAGCACCCTTGTTTTAGGTGTACTTCACTCTGACAGTATTTCCATTCGAATCATTTGGCACAAGTATGAATTCGTGCTTGTTGAGAGGTCTGTTTTAGCAATCTGAATCTAGTGGCTTCAAGAATCCACCTGCGTATTCTCACCGTCATTGACCAGCTAGGCGATTGTCTCATTAAGGTACACCTACTCTCCTCGGCTTTCGATTGAGCCGCTGTCTTTACAGGCAACATAACTGTGTTCGATAATAAATGAATACACTGTTTTTCATCCGCGAACGGTCTCAGTATTTCTGTGATATTTGAGAGATCTGAGTGCACCAGCGTAGTAACTGACAGCTGGCACACACTTTAGGGCTTCAGTTAAGGTGCCCAACTTCGAAAGTCATGCAAGCCACAGCATGGCAATTACAACCATGAATTATCCGTCTGGAAATCTACTGGCAACCTACTGCCACGCTAATAAAGGGGGAATATAAGAGTGTGGATAAAAGTGATTCCTTTTCTTTAAGGACTGTCTGTGTATTGAAAGGGTTGTTTAAACACCCATTTCGATTTCGAATCAAGGCTCTCTTATGTAAGTGAAGCCAATCTATATTACAAGACCGAGAAGCAGGGTAAAATCGCCTTTGTTATATGGAATAATCAGCAGAGTGCACCTCACGAAATTCCACGGGGTTTCAAATCCACAACCCCCAGCTAGACCCCTGAAAATCTAGCAGCTGGTTAGCAATATAACTAACACACGGTTAAAGGATATAGCGTCGCTCAGTCTCCCATCATGGAATTCAAATCACATGGCCATGTGTTGACTGGCTCTTCGAGTGACGATTACTTAGATAGGACGAAGGCATTATTCCAACCAGATTTCATAATAACATACATCACTATGGGAACAAATCCCCATCCAAGTTCGTAATTTCGAACCTACGCTGATTTAAGACTGATAGAGCACAAGGAGATTGATTATGTTACCGACTGACTTATCCATACCAAAATAATCAGATTGTCTATATATATATATATATATATATATATATATATACGGTAAACTGAAAAAACATGTGTCCGCGCTATTTGCTCGTGCCCTGTGGCCTAGTATTTCAAAGTCCATGCGTGGTGGGACCACAACTACCGTGAGATGATTCGCAACCGTAAGACTTGTAGGTGCACAAAACGTGTCGCGGTGACATAAAATCGGCCGATGAAATGGAAAACCAGGCCATAACATACATCCCTTGGTACATTCGGTCAGTCATTACACCATCCAACGACTGGAATATTGTTGTATCATGGGTGGCCGTCTATGGGTTACGTCTGCACTGAGCCTGCCAGACTACGCGATAAGAAGACGGAGAACTCGGGACACGGCTGTATTGTCAGGACAAAACATACAGAGCTTCTGCGTAAACATACAGGATGACTAAATGGCCAACTACGGTCGCTCACTTGTTCGCTCCGTACAGTCAATGGCGGTGTTCCAGTCGTGAACACTTTCAGGCCCACTCTACTGGTCTTATGTTGTTGAGCCGTGTTTGGTGAGCTCCACCAACGCACCTGCTTTCCGGGCGTGTCGTACCGATGGTGACCTTGGGGATGCGTCACTCTCCGCACATGTACATTTTCCATGTCTGGGCGCGTCCTGACAAACATTGGGAGAGTGACCAGTTTAGCTAAGACTGTAGCTATAGAACTCGCCAGACAGTGATAGTGGCAGGATGTGTTAATTACTGAACTACTCGAACCTGCTTTGTATAGGTATGGCGTACGAATTGGCACGAGCTAAGGACGCGGGCGTGAAATGTGTATTCGAATTTGACCATGTATCGCGTAACACCATTATGATCAGAGATTTTGATGAACAGTAGGCTCATCGGCTTTTAATCTGAATCTTGTCAGTCAGTGTATTCCGAACTTTGAACCTCCAGTGACCGTCCTTATCCTTTAATGTCCTTGTGCAAGTCACTTAATCTAATCAAAATGTAGAAAAAATGACGCACAACATCTCCGATATTTCGCTTTCGTATTTCGAGATTTGCATCCCATCAGCAGACGCTCCGGTCGGAGAGATCTTGTCTAATTGGTATAAGTAGCTGCTATTGCGAACTAGCTACTACAAAAACTGCCAGTTCTTCCATAGTGCGAACATATGCGTGAATTGGAAATTATGAATGGAGGACTAAACAGTCACCCCACCATTTTACTTCATCAGCTATATATTCGTTCAGCTGTAGCATCCTTTCGATGCCTAGATGCGATGCTAACCAAGGAAGAACGAGGGCTGGGATACTTCCAGGTTGCCCAAGCCTAGACAGAAGTCGAGATGCAGGGGCCGGAACCACGAGCCTCCGATCAGTGAATTCGCACTCTAACCACTGAGCCCCTCATCAGTTAACTGAGTGTTCGAGGAGAATTACGCACAAAGACTAATTGCTCATGAGCGTGCACACAGCAAGCGTACGACATTTCATACAATGTCGACGCCTTTCTATCCTCTTGCTCATTTCGAGCACCGTGTGGTGTGGGTTCCCCTCCTGTTTATGGCTCGTTTGGGAGAAAACGTAGTTGTTTGTTATTGCCACCTATGTCCCTGATTAGACTTTGGGAATACCACACTTAGAGATAGATAATATGGGGTACGCTGTCATAATCTAGAGTAAGTTGGCCACCCATGATGATAACACTATACCACAAGATTTTCCGACTTGGAAGTAAATATTTTCCGGCATTGTGAAAACGTGAATGTAACAAGGTCGCTATCCTAACGCTCTAGAACTCGACGGTCCATCCTTCCTACTGAAGGCATAGCAGTGAGAGTTTGAATGCGCATTGTCCGGCAGAGAGCTAAGCATCCTGAATTTAGAGATGACACGCATTATTGGATGCTTCGAAGGGCAGTAAGTAATACAGTCCAATCGGTTGTGACCAACTGGGTTCCAGATTGGGTAGATGTGGAAGCTGATGGGAATATGTGGGCGTACGACCCGCCACTTGATCCGGAAATGACCACATAATTCTACCGGAGATCTTCACAGAACAAATGGTCAATGTGAGGAAACAAAGAAACAATGAGGACAAAGCTGCAAAGATGGTTGGAGGCACACAGCGGTCACACGGAATTCTGCAGTTGCACAGCCACGGGCGCAGGAAAATTGCACACAGCATTTTGGACACAGAACGAGTAGTCAAGAAGGCCGTCTGAGACGCTTCAGGAAGCAGGTGATGACGATGACAAACAATACATATTTTACCGGTTCGCGGTTCATGTGTAAGCCTTTTGTCCGATTCCATCACACATCATTACTGACGCGCCATCGTCCAAGTACATCGATTAGATTCGAAGGTTAGCCTGGCCACTAACTGTGGAGTGCAACCAATGAAGGGGACCGGAGTAACAGTCCTCTCCAAGGGCGTTTATTTTTACGTTTGCAATATCTGTGGTCATTTTCCTACTCAAGATTACACAAATTCACCTCTCTTCTACATCAATGACCTTTTGGTATTTGGGGGGTAATAAAGTCTAGTCCCCTGTGGAGAACGTATGAAGGGCTCGCAAACGGTAGCGGCAAACCAACCAACAAATTTATCAAAAAGTGAGGCGAATTAACGTAAACCTCAGTTACATTGTGCGACGTAGGGCAACATCCGCTTTAGCCCAGTTGATACAGCGCTCGTCCGGTAAGCGATACGTCACAGGCTTCTGTCCCATTCGAGGAAGTTTGTGTTTTTCTTTTCGCTACTTGTATTTGGTTTGCTATTCAAGTCGAGCAATTACTTTGCACCAGGGCTTTTGGGCAGAATGTTTTTGTTTACCACGGTAACACAGTTATTTCTCTCATTCTGCGGTCGACTTCACAATAGGGAAAAACTGGGTATTTACGGAAGAACAAGGGTTTATTGAATTGTTTCGTATCCAAATGTGGTGGGTAGCCGTCTTTTATCATTGAGCTTCAGGTGAAAGGAGTAAAACCCTCCGCCGCGAAGTTTTTATTGGCAAACACCAAATAAACAGTAACAAGCTACCGGACAGGAAAGTAAGCGTCTTATATGCAAATAGTTTTTAAGGACTCTCACGCGTCTTCTTGAACTTTCATTGCTGTTCATTGACTACTACACAATTTTAAAGGAACACTGCAAAACAACTCTACAAGTTCCGTAATAAACTTCACCTTCCACTAGACGAGGAGCGGAACTTCGAGATTCGAGACTATTCGCACGCCGTTACACAGCTATCAGCCCAATGGTGTGTTTGATTTGAACGCGGAGCACAGTGCTACTTCAACCACGCAGTTCGTTTCACATGATCTGACCGACATCTTGAATGACTACATCTAACAGGAAGACCAATGTGCAATAAAGAATGTATTCCTCTCCGAGCAGGTAAGTTCAATTGGTTCAGGCGAGAAAATTTTGGAGTTTCAGTTTTGGGTTCCCTTCCACAAATGAGGTCAATTAAAGTCGGTCACTTATGGCCCAGCGTCACCCAAACAGACACACCATATGGTTTTAAATCCTTATGCTTCAATTCAACTTCCATCTGACCGAAGGAGTTCCACTCGCCGCCTCACTGTGCATCTCATTAAGTCACATGGAAGAATTGCAATTCCCGTGACACTGTCTCGCATCGGTCAACCAGCCAGCGGAGCTTCGATACGGCCGCAGACTATTCGCACGTCGTTACACAGCTAGCAGCCCAATGGTGTGCTTAATTTGAACGCGGAGCACAGTGCTACTTCAACCACGCAGTTTTGATAGTTGGTAGAATAAGAAAACCAAATTCCGTCTTTGCTTTTAGAGTTCTCTGAACGTGAATGCGCCTCAGTCATGCCAGTCGTCGACCACTGCGTGCCAATCACTAAGGGCTTGGTCCCAGTAACAGTCATCTATTCAGCTAAACAAAATATTACCGAAATTGTGACCAAAAGAGTGAAAATCAGAACGAAAGCATAAAGAATTCAGCTGTGGGACTTTCAATGTGCTGTTGTAATGCAGGCTGAAATACCGCAAGGTTTCCTCCGCGTTGGATAGAAGACCCGAAAAGTCAACCAAAGGACCAGCCTAACAACAGCCGAATTAAGGGCTTTGAAAATATACAGTAATGACTAAACTTGAAGCGGAGCAGTTTCAACAGATTGGTTAAGTCAGTTACACGTTGTATCGAAAAGAAGCTAGGCCGCCCCAAATTAACTTTCCATATCTGATAACCTTACAGAAGACATAAAAGAGTAAATAGTGGAATCGTCACACTGATGACACTAAGCAGTAGATGTAAGAACTTACTCCGAGTAGCTGCTCTACAACGTAAATAGCCGTCTTGGTGTGCAACGTCAGGGGTCCTGTACGGATTTCGGACCGCCCAGAGGCCAGTGCCATGGGAAGGACAAACTGAGTTGGATGGAGAACGGGTAGATTCACTCGCCTGACGAAAACTTGTTTACAGTGCACAAAAACACCACCACGAAAATATAAACAATCAGAGAATACGATCCAACCCCAGAAGTAGCCGGAAATAGTCTCACTTAATCACCCAAAGTATACCACTTGCCAAAAAGGTGAAGTGCAGGTTTACGCCAGAATGACATACGGAAGGGACCTCCTGTTATACCAGTATGATAATTCCAAACGGTTCTTTTCTATCTAAAGACCACGTGACCTAGCAAAGCCCGTTTGACACGTCCGCGTAGAATCCTCTAATCCCACACAATTGGAATGTGCAACCATCGGGTGTCAAAAATGTTTACGAATACACCGGTGACTTTGTCGGTACCATTTGGGTTGATAAGGGCGACAACAAAAGCGTTGTGACAGATCATTGGCCGGTGAGAAGCAGACAGTATGATAAGCATAGTGTTATGCATTTGAAATGACAATTCGACAGCTGAGCAGACTGTGGTAAAGCAGGAATGAGGAAAGGCAACCTCAGTACCGAAGCCTTGAGAAAGGCAACGTTCGAGATAAAAACTATTTAACTACCATGTTCTATTCAGAAATGGTCCCATTAAGTACAGGAACCTGCCAGAAAGGCGATGGTTCTTAATTCGGTTAGCACTTGTTCAGAGAGAATCAAAATGCAGTTTTTAAGATTGTGAGGCTCAAGAAGTAATGGGTGTTCAAAAGTCCGCAATGCGTTGAGTGATAGCAGTCGGAGACTAATAGGAAGGATCTCCGGTAAAATGTCAAACGGTTACAAGGCCGGAATGTAGTTGGGGTTTAAACGAACCCCAATTTCTTCTTGTTTACCCAATACGGTAGTCCGACGAACCACTGGTTCCAGAAAACGGAGGGAGAACAAAGATAAGTTTTTCAATTTCACCGCACCGAACTACTCATTCAGCACTATCAACATCTTAAGTGGCACTTGATATGCTGGTAATCTTATCATCGAGAGAACATAACCGATACTTCGGTATCCTACAACCGTCATTCATTTGAAAGCCTTATCGTGAAGAGAATAATGAAAACGGACCGGGGAGGGATTTAGTGGTAGCCTACCACAATCAATCTGAGGTGCGTACATCTCAAGACATGCATTCAGACACGTTTGATAGAAACTGACGACAACAACAACAATGTCATTCACATCAATTAGCAGACGTATCTTGCAGCGTCTCCAACCATGCACGGAGGGACCAGGTGGAACCCACCGGTAAGCCAAGTCACACAGACAGTACCCAGACAGCTCGTAATCAATTTCATATCCTTCTGCCAGGTCATAAGTTGGCAATGGTTCTGCTTGAACGACTCTGAATTGGAAAATGAAAACAGCACTCGCTTCGCCAAAAAATGGTTCGGTATTTGCAACACACAGCCGAAACAACGCGGCTTTTGGTACCAAACACATTCACCGAATTAATTCCCTCTTGCGCAACTATAATTGTCTTCTTGCGGACTCGCTAGCACCAGCCAATTCGACCTGAGAAAACGGTTGGCGAAGGCCTGCAAACGTCTCAGTTCCGCTCGCAGAGGCCATGTTTCATAGCATAAAACAAAAACAGCCAGTACTATAACTGATACACACGTCCGTTGAGATTAAAAAAAACCGCTCTCCTCAACAGGGGTCTTGAATTAGAAGACGCAACACGAGCCTTACAGATTCGTGCATCACACTACAATCGGATTTCGCGACTATCGCGACTATCTTTCAACCTTGACATCCTTTCGTTGCCTAGCTACCATGCCACCCGAAGGAAGCACGAGGGTTGGGATACTTACAGGTTGCGCAAGCCTAGACAGGGGAAGTCGAGAGACAGGGGTCGCGTTCGAACCACGGGTCCTCCGATCAGTAAATTCTCGCTCCAGCCACTGAACTCTCATCAATCATCAATCA